TAAAAAACAAAGAACAATTACTTAAACATACATCAAATGAATTGAAACAATCACCTTTCAATGTGTTCCTCGATCAAAGTATTAAACGATAGATTTGCCAATAGCTTAAATCTTTATTTAGAATAAATTGTCAATACATAGAAATACAGCAATGTGTTTTCAGTGAAACTGATTATGTAAACAGATTTACCTCTGAGTGTTCGCGATATCATATACAGGTGTCGATCATTGCAGGTAAAAGATAATATTGTGATGCCAAGAAAAGACGTCTTCGAAAAAAAATTGGAGACAATTGTACATCTCGAAAAGGCTTTCGGATCACAAAGAAGCAATTATGTAGCTTCAAATTATTCCATTTTTGTTTTGAAATTTTGTTTATATTATAACATTAACGGTACATATTTCATTGAACCAGATACGAATTTTGACACCTTTGTCTCTTCGATGATGCTTAAAGCAAAACTGTGTAATAATCAGTAACTCATAAAAACGAAAAAAGCTTATAAAACTAAAAGAACAAAGAAAAGAAAAACCAAGCACGGACAAGCAATCAAAGCTATGTATGGCGAAAATTTAATCCTTAGTTTAAAATGATTTCGATATTTTGAACAGCGCATTAAAGTAGAACAATATCCGTTTTTCATGCCATTATCAACGTAATGGGTATTGAGCTTGTGATACCTTCGGGATAAACAAAATTGAAAACAACACGTGATAAACTTCATGCGTGTCGAAGCGTTTTTCAAGGTTTACCTTTACCAGGAATGCTAAAAGCCAAATATTTGAATGACAAGGACGTATAAGGAACGAAAACGTTGAAGAGCTATAGAACAAAAAGGACTTAAAATAGCCAAATCCATTAATAGGCCAACTTTTCCTAAGGGAGTTGAAACCTTTGTATAATTTCAAAATTTATAAACAGACAATTTTAGATAGTATGTTATAAATCAAAGTACCAAAGTACTGACTACTGAGCTGAAAATACCTTCGTGGACTGATAGTCCACCAGCAGAGGTACCTACTCAGTGCTAATAAAAATTGAAAACAACACACTATACATTTTATGCGTTTGAAGCGCTTTTCTGTATTTACCTTCATCTGGAACGCTCAAAGCCAAATATTTGAAAGCCAAGGATTTATAATGAACAAAACCGTTGGGGAGCTATAAGCCACACAGGACTTTAAAATAGTCAAATTAATCAAAAGGCCAAATTTGCCTGAGGGAGTTGATACCTTAGTTCAACGGGTTAAGCAGTCCGTTAGCAGAGGTATCAATCAAGTGGAAGTTTTAACATTTACGGTAACAGATTGCACAACACACCTTTGACTAACCGATACAGTTTGTGTTACTGTATAGGTTTGGTCCATTGTTAGAAGCCGCCCATCTTTGTTTCAGACTGAGGAAAAGCGGTTCAGAGGCATTATGTTATCAAGTATTATTTTCAATGTATTATTTGTTCTTTTTGGATATTTGTCTAACTGGCCTTGATACGAGATCTCCCTATTTTTATTAAGCTATACATTTTATCAGCATTTAAAACATAACCATATAAGACAAATAATGAGTTCATCATGTAATGTCAAAGAAAAAGTGCAACCTAAAGGAGTATTTATGCCAGTGAAAACTTATTGCTTTGAACACTAGTTTGACACGATATGTTTGCATTCATTGAATTTAAATGTTACTCAACGAAGATACCCGACCTATAAGCACACAAAACTGTTTGTCATAAGCATGCTTACTTTGATTGTTATATATTCGAAAGAACGGCATAACATTGTAAAAATTGAAAGTACACACAATAAACTTATACAATGTAAATGATATTATACGACGATTTTTCATACGTATCCGATTTCATCTTATTTGTATCATAACAGATTGACTTTTGGAATTTAGTTTATAATCTATCGGGAACATTTGTAACAGGTTTGACCTGTAAATGTTCTTTGTTAATTGCAGGTAAACAGTTCACTAACCTTGAAGTGTAATACCACCATTGATTTTCCCCAATTAGTCTTTGTTAAATTTGCACTTTTCAAGAAATTGTGCAGAATTGTTTTCGTTTCAAATAAAAAAAAAATACTTGGCATGAGTAAAGTTTTATCCTGTCCAGTCCTAAAGACAAAATTTTACATAACATTCCATTGCATATAAGAAAATAACCATCACTAGAAGTTAACTAATCAAATTTTTACCTTTTTTTACTAGCTTTAGTAACCAAGTGTTCAAAATAATCTATAGGAATAACAAATAGAAAAATAATGGTGCTTTGAAGCACCCAAGATATATGTTAATGTCCCAGAATTTTTTTACTCCAATGAAATCAGGGATTAATTTTCCTACAACTGTCAATTGCAAAGGAATATTTTTTTCGAACCTTTTTGGTATGCATCCGAATGTGAAGTACTATGATTTGGTGGTATTACACCTTGAAAGATACTAATAAATGAGTCAATCTAGTTTGATAAGGTAAATTTCGGCAACAAACTCGAAATTTAATTAGCTTGCGATAAACACAATTACCGAATGATATATCATTTGTCGATAACACTTTATAGATTCGAAATAAATGTAAAAAACGGGCATACAGGACTATGATTTTTTTCTCTTATTTTTGTGCCATTTTCACATTTCCTGAGCGGTGTGAGAAAAATATTTCTCATTACTAGTGAATTATCTGTTCTCAGCAAATGATTGGTCGAAAGTTAAGTATGACGTGTAATTTTCAGCAAATGTTTGAAAAGGAAAAATAAAATGCATTAGAGAAACAGATCCCACAACTATAACTCGTGTATTACGATATTTCTCCACTCTCAGCAGTTGAATTTTAAGTATTTAAAAAGCTCGACAAGCCTCGTGCTTTAAATATTAAAATTTAACTGTCTCGAGTGGAGAAATATCATAACACACTTGTTGCAGTTATGGAATCTGTATATACACATGCATAGGTTTAATAATTTCGATAACATTAAAATTTGGAGAAACTTTTTAGTATGATTTTAAAGATATAAAAAATGATAAGATAACAAGTTTGTGTAATCAACTTCTCCTATTGTATTCAATACAGGTCCCAGACACTTCACAGGAAGATTGCAAAATTAATATGTTGAAATTGTGCACTTGCTAATATAGAAATGTTTGAGGACTTGCTTCCGGAAAATTTGCTTTGTGTACCCTAATATCCCGAAGCCATATAGGCAGATTGCATGTAATATTTTTGATGAAGTTGTGCACCTGATATTATGGAAATGTTTGAGTTTTTTTTTTCTTTTTTTTTCCAGACTGTAGAACTTAGTCAAATTTAGTATACTTTTGAAAGAGAGTTCAAGTTTTCAACTGTTCTTACAGCGTTCATCTGTGAACCCCAAAACTTCATCTTTCCATCAAAGTGTTTGGTTTGAAGTGATGTTATTTGACGTTGTTTGTGCACTTTGTTTTGGCATAACCTCTACGTCAATACATTGAGCATAGGGATTAATATTCTCATGGAGATACATGTAATTTCCTTATGACTGGTAAGATAAATGTGTTAAGCGATAAGATTAATATATTTCTTTCGATAGGATTGGGTAATGTTCATATGAATAAAAATAAGTGTTTTAAACATGTCAGGCAAGCAAAATAACTTTGTCAATTCAAAAATGCAGGGATCAAGTAAGCCAATAAAACATTTACATGACGTAAGAAATAAACGTAAAGTAAACAACTGTTTCTAGTTAACGGAATGATATGAACCAAACGTATTGATCGAAATTATTGTGGACATTTTTTTAAACTTGGGAACCTGCTTATTTTTAATCAAAATAAGCAACTTTCGTGTAGTTGATGCTACATTGCAAATATTTCACATTAATTAGAAAACATTTTGCAACCAAGCCATTTTCGACTTTGACCCATTTTTGTATTTTTTACAGCTACCAAGCATACAAAAATTGAGCGAGTGTGGAAATTATCTTTAAATTAGATTGCAAATAAATAAACAAACAAATACCTGATTTGCCAATCAATGCGCCAAAAATGAGCTCTTCATGTCAACTTTACTTCATTCTAGTATTAAAAAAAACATACCGTGAAGTTTCTAATCGTTGTTAAATGAAACTCTTTAAATTGTCAACTAAATATGGTCCTAACATTTTTCTGGCTGTCCTGCAATTAGCCAACTATTGTATAATAACATGTACACAAATACATATTTGCTTTATTTGTAGTTGTACACATAAAGTCTCCTGTTACTCCGCTTCCATTTTGAGCAAACGGTAATGTGAATATTTCTTTTTCTGATAACAGTTCATGTAGGCGTTTTATTTGTTTTTATTTTTTGTTTCTGGATAGCTGAAACAATTACAATCTTTATTAGTTTTTTTAAAGTTTGAACGATGACATTTTCTAAAACGTATATTTAAAAAAATATACGGCACGGAAAATTTTTAATTTGATAGCTATCAAAAAAAGAAAGTTTGCCTTTATCAGTGGCATGGTCGTGCGTTATTTGTTTTACATTTGCCTATGAAAATATTTCATATTTAAAAAAACTCGCAGTAATGAGAACATAGCAAAATATCAAAAAAATGAATATTAATCTTTCCTTGTAAGTGTGCGTTATCCTCTGTCTGAACTAAGTGGTTAATGGTGTGTTCCATTCGAACGCGTTAACGTCCGGATGCATTTGAGTCGTGCTTGTACGAGGTGTGATTGATGTGGCCTAATTCTATAGAATGAATCATAACAAATTTTTTAAGGGTTTATGTTTCTGTTGATATCATTCACGCCAGTTTAAACTGGTAATAGCCATGGTGAATTATGTCTTCAGGTGATGAAATATTTAGAGTTTTTCTCAATAACATGTACTTTATTGATTCTTTGAAAGCAGGATATTCATTATAATTTATTTCAATAGGCAAGCAGGTATTAGAGTGTTTAATCTATTATTGTCTTTCTTTATTTTTATACACATACCACTGACAAAAAATAATGAAACAGATGAAGAAAAGAATAATATAATACCACTGTTTAATGTTGTATATCATAGCAAGACGCATATAGTCAATAACTTGATACACAGAAGTTTAATACAAATCTAATGACAGTTTTATATCACTGTTTTCTAAATCTAGTCATATGTTAATCAAGACAAATACAGTTAAATAACTTTCGAAGTAGCACTTCTCATCAAGGGTTTCTGTAGAAACTGGTTCGCCTCTCGACTTATCTCATCCCAGCGACATTTTTCAGCTTCATTTGAATACGGATTGACTGGATCTATGATGTATGGAACAGTATATCTATAAATATAAAACAATATTCAATAGAGAAAACGACTGAAATCGACACTGCAGAAGTTTTACGGTCACCATCCCAAATTGTTTGACCGGTACGATATGTTTGTGTCAAAACTCACTAATGACATTTATTTGCGGTTTTTATCGTTAGATACACACACGTGTTTCTGATCTGTTATTTTAGCGCCTGTGTCTTATTACTGATTAAAACATTAATACTTTTAGTGGGTCCCATGGAAGGAGATGTATGCATAGCATGAAATGCTTACCCTGACGGCGTACCCGGTCCCCCCTTTTTTTAAGGAGATTATTCAAATGTTGTGTTACCTTCATCCGCCTTTTTTATATCGATTGATAAGATTCGAACATTTGAACATCTACATGTATTCTTGGATAAATCTATCATAATCAAAACTAGAAAACATATGTGAAAATAATAAAGGAACACTTAGAAATATAAAAAGAGGATACAAAAAATACCGTTCTTAAGATGAGACAAACACACAAACAAACAAAATGAAAAAAACATATATTTCAAAACACCCTAACAAAGACAACCACTTATGTAACACATATAAATATGGTGTTTAGTGTGTGAATTGTTTATATTTTGAATTAAAAGAGAAAACTTTAATCTGGTCATTATATTTACACCAGAATGACATCAATGCTTATAAAATGGAAAAATGTTCTTAAAACTCAAATGATAGAGTAATAGTATATTCCGTTTAGCGCGTTTGACTTAGACAATACTGAAAGCCTTTAAAATATAATTGTCGCCAATATGTTAAAGAATATTTATCATGACATTATCTGTTTGTTTTTAACTTATCATAATTATGAGTTTGAATATCCATTTGATATTCGTTCACCTCTCTTTTATTTCAGATCAATCTTAAATTCAGCTAAATCAGTGTGAAGAGAAAGATTTTCATTCCTAAATTTATATTTCACTCATATTTTTAAATATTCAAAAACAAATAATATTCTGTGCAATTGTCCATGTTTATGTGATAATTACGGCATTGACATTACTTAGAAATTTAAAGTATTTTTTTTATAATCTAAGAACCTTATCCATAAAAAAGATTTATGTTTTATAAAATTTGATCCAATGTCATACAACTGTATTCACCTTTGTTGAAAATCCCTGCTGTAATATTCGAAGAACTCAGCCCTTATGGTATTAGGATTAGCAATAGTTTCCATCACTTTTTTCAACGCATTTGTCAACTGGAATTGTTTAGGATCACCTTCCTGGTTCCATAGATAAATGATCAGTAGTTCAAGTGCAAATGATGATGGTGACCTCTGGGAATGGAAAACAGTACAATCAATTTCAATTTTTCAATAGAGTAAAATGGAAGCTGTATTAATTTTTATATTGTATTTTACAAATCTTGGGAAAAAATCAATTTGAAATCATTTCCATTAAGACATGTGTAATTACACCCCCTCCAACATCAAATATAAAAAAACAATACCCTCTTGGATAAACAACTGTCACAGGTTAATGCAATCATCTTTTATCACTTGCACATTTATATCATTATCATTTGAAATTAAGGCATGTATTTCCCTCTTTGAGTCCACATCCGTCTTAAATTTATAATCTTGGTTCTTTTTTATTTCAATAGCATTTTCATGTTTTGGTTTTTCAAATTGTTCGGCTACGAGAATCACTGACAAGACATTATAGTTGGCTAAATGCGTATCTTAAGCAAAAAATTGGTACTGCAAATGTCATTATACAATTATAGTTCAGGGATAAGTAGAAATAGAAAATAAGGATACGCTGTAACTTAAAGGTGAAACTCAATTTTGGGTAAATGTTCAATAGCTTTGTAAATTTGATTTTACTTTGTATTTTTGAGTTAAATATATTTCACGTACGCAGAAGCCTTCACTTTGCATATTTGAACAATATGGTGTGAAAATAAAACACACAATAACACCTGCACATTGAAACTACCAACGGGTCGATAAATAAGGGAAACAAGGAAAAGGGGAATTAAAGGACGACAACTATATCGGAAAGTAAATTAATATGTGTTTGATACTGCAGAAAAACTACATGATATCTTTTTATATCAACATAGACTTTATGTTGTTATGGTGTTGTCAATGTGCTTTCGACTGAAATGATATGAATGTTCGTCCAATATATGTTTTAAATAATAAAGTAATTGGCGATACCTGAACATTAACATTCTTCCAGTACTTTACAAATCTTATTAGTTTTTTCAGTTGCTCTGTTCTATCCTTCTTTATGAAATCTCTCTGCCATTTGGTTAAAGACGGGGTATAAAGATTACGCTTTGCATCTGATGTTCCCCTCATTTTGGAGTGGATGCTTCTTATATCAACTGAAACCAAATCATGATAATGTTAATCATGTTTAAGTTACAACAATTAAAGAAGAAGCGAAAGATACCAAATGTTGTCCTGTAACATTTATATCCTCGGCTATGACGATGGTAAACACAATCAATTTTAACCCGCCATATTCATATATTTGTCATGGAGGTAGGACAAGTGTTTTGCAACATTTTTGTCTTTACGATTGATGTATCATTGGTATTAATAGACCCATTCAGTTTCTTAATTCTGATTTGTATCAACAACCTCACAACCTTAATCAATTCGGAAAGTGTATCTACGTCTTCTCATGGTGAATACACCTTACAAGATGTTATTGCAGTTAATTCAGGTTAAAGTTAAGCAGTTTTTGTATCGTTTCAAGCATTTGATCGACAATTGAAAGAATAATCGTATGCAGTATAAACAGGAGTAATAGGTAAAAAGTTAAAGATATAGTTTCTATATATAGAAATGTAGCATTTACCAGATATACTATTGCGGTACAAATGTGAATTGTGTAGTAAAGTCTCTTAAATAATCTGACTCAAAAGTGATATATTTTTGCCAATTGTCATTAAAGATGAGATGATTCCATTTAAAATCCCACCTTAATGGCTTATTTTTGACAATGACAGTCATCATACGGATATTGTACCAGAACTTTAACTTAATGTAAATGATTGGTGCTAATACCTTAAGCAAGAAATGAAACAATCGTTCGATTCTTAAGAAAAGTTAGTTAGGTATACTATTGAGGAACAATTTGTGTGTTTGAGAAAAAGTATTGTCAAACCAATATTACAAATTATTCTTACCATCTCCAAAATTAACAGCTGGTAAAATGTCAACATCTATAACATGGGCGTGACCAGTCCCAGGTTCTCTACAATCTATTTGGAATGAGACTGCTCTTTTTTGTACACGCACATTCTTGAATTGTGGACACGTGATCAGTGCATCATTAATATCCCTTAAGATTGTCGGCAGGTCATTGTAAAAGTGATCAATAGATTGATACTCTGTTCTTGACAACAAAAAAACAAGATCAACATCTGACTTCCCTTTTATAGCGGTTCCCTTTGCAGTGGATCCAGTCTAAATATATAAAAAAGATCAGCTTTATATCAAGAAAGATTAAAAATATTTTTATAAGTACAAACAATATTTGTTGTATAACAGATAATCGTGAATGTGAAAAGTAGTTATATTTCTGAAGTTGTTAAAGCGAAATAACAAAAAACAAGGGTTTCGGGAGTTGGGATTTAGACAATTTAGTAACATTTCAATTAGCAAAAGTAATTGTTTTGGTTATTTTTTGTCAGTATTACGTAGGAAATATAAAAAATGTCGACCTGCAAAACAAAATTATTAAAAAAACGAAAAAAGAATTAACCTATACGAAAAAATTAAAGCATCAGCCAGAATACTGCGTTCAAAAGTAAAGATCAGAATGATTTCATTGATTACTCTACAACAAAATGAATGTATTTGACACCTACAAATATCTCTGCATGTAAAATACAGTTATTGTCAAATTGTTATGATGCCGTATTCGCACCAGGTATACATTTGGTCCCGGTTTACGATGCAGTCAGTTTGAAAGTAGCTTAGGGTACCATGCATGACTGGTATCGTATATTAAGTTGAACTAATTATGCAGTGAGAGGACGTTGTTTCTGAAGTCAGATTATGAAATAAGGGCTTTTTCTGTAATTTATTACACGCTTGTAATTTTTACACTAGGATTGAATTGCAATATTCACAGCATTATTACCGAAACATCGTGTAATACAAAACAACATTATACTGTATTCATACGGTTTGGTCTTGTTGAAGTGGTGGTGTCCAACGTATATTGTACAATAAGACGTTTTTAAAATTGTACAATATTATTTGTTTGCGGTCTTTTCTTACGAAGAGTCTCGGAAATAATAGAATGAATATGCACAAGAGGAAACAATATGTAGAACAAAAATGTCAACTTGTGACAATAATTGTAAACATGTAGCTGAAATTTCTTTTTGTAATGTCGAATAATTCATATAAAAGATTAAACTTCATAAACACACAAGGGTTGACACAATCCAAATATAATACTCTAGTAATGCAAAAAGAACAGTTTCGTCAATAGGTACTTGTAAATGAATGTCTCTTTTAGAAAATTCAGCTGTGTTCAAATATGTCGATTTTAGTCAGCTTGGTCAATTTTCTGCCAATAAAAGCTACCGATAAACTGATCAAAGCATATAAAAAGTCATATTATGACATAGTAGATTGTTCATTTTCAAGATCCATCAAATTGTCTGTCTGCTATTTCTCACTAATTAACAGTAACGTGAGTTGTGGTAACAAAAAAGAAAAAAAAGGTAACTGTGTTGTTTACAGCGCCACTTATGTGTGTATTCAATGTAGACGAAACAGGCGTCTGGTGTGTCATATTGTATGCCTAGTATTTCTAAGTGTTTTTTTTAACGGTTGATGCAAATGCTATTTGAAGTTTCGGCTGCAATTGTATCCTCATTTTTTGTTAACCTGAAATAGCATTGAATCAGATATGGTTCATTTTCCATAACTTTTCTCATAACAACTGGTTGAGTTATTCGGAAAACTAAGCTTGCTCAATCCCTGTCAGATATTGCCTAAACCGTATTTGGCGCAATATTTCGAACCCTTTGGTCCTAAATGCATTTTTTCTTCGTGTTTGAGAAGTTCTATGAGTTTTTACAACCACAGGGTTGAGTTTCACTGATAAGTCAAATGTAGACGAAGAGCGCGTGAGAAGTATCAAATTAAAAGCTGTTTGCATTTCGTCCCATATGCTATCACTAGCATATTGTTGGAACTTTTGACGAGAAATATCACTGATAAAAAGATCTGCAAATTAAATGTTGGTAAATTGTTGAATCACCAAAATAGTAAAGTTTTTGTACCGTAGGTATAGGTTGCCTTAGCTTTATTTGGCACAACTGTTCGATTTTTGAACATACATTTAAAGCTCTTCAAAGTCGTCTCTGATTAAGTTTTTAAACAGATTTGCTTCAAGTGACACTGTTGAGACAAATGTGGACGAAACGCGCATCTGACGTTCATATCATGAGCCTAAAATCGTTGATGAGTTTTAACTGCGAATTTCATTATTTCATCATTATTTTACTTTTTTTTCACTTAGCGTGAGGCGTATTCAGAAAATGTAGCTAATATCTTTTGCTTGATTGTGATTGCATATTCTCACCTTTAGGACTTCATCTGGTCTGTATTTACCCTTAATGTTATTCTTTAAAATATCACCGACATTCCTAATGACACCTTTGCATACACTTCTGTAGGCATCATCTGTTTCAACATGGTCTCTGATGAACACTTCTAAATCACGTTCATTCCGAATAAAATTAATTGAACCACTTGTTGTTGCCATGGTGTGCTGAAATGAATAAAAAAAAATGTTAACATAGTCATGATAGTATAACTGTATTATTATGTACAGTTGAGTGTAAAAAGCAAAAGGAATATCCTTTACATATTTAAATTTGTCTTGAAAGGAAGACGTTATTGTTAGCTCGAATAGTTTTATCGTAGTATTTAGATGAGTGGTTTGATTCCATTTAACAGTGTTGTTTATGTTCTTTACCCGTACCTACATGTTCCATAATAGACAGCATGCAGGCATCATACACTTTCGGTCAAGTGTTCACAAAAACATAAACAGGTCAGATAAAGTTGCCTGCTTCAAGTTTCGAAGTATGTGTCATATGGGAAACAAGTCGATTTCAGTCTTAGTTAATTGCTTATTCTGTAAACAGCTTTTCAAGCATCTTCTCAAAACATCCATGCTCACCTTATAATTCATCTTCAATATTGCAACGACAGGGAAAGAACTCAACAAATAAGCTTTTGCTGACAAAGTCCTGAAGCCCTACGTTTATACATGTTACTAACATGTTTCTAAATTTGACAAGGGAATGAAAGAATCAACGCAAAGAAATAGGTTAACGTATTGTACACAAGCAAGGCCATTTATATATATATAATATAAAATGAATTTTGTATATGAATCAAGTAGAATAATTTGTTTCAGCTTAGGAGGCACAGAAGGGCATATATCGTATTAACACTATAATTAGAAGCATTTGCAAAGCAACAATTCATTCAAATAAGACAATATATAAACATGTAAAAACACAAAAAAACCAACAGCATTTTGTAATAAAACTAACATTATGTTTATATTTACCAACGTGGATAAGAGAATAATATTGTCTTTAGATAATAAACAGAAGGCATAATTAGGAGATAACTGTATTGTAATGTAAGCCTGGTCTCCATTAAACATATATTTTACTATCGCAAATTGAGCTTACCTGGCAACGCGCAGTGGAACTAGGTAAACGGATATTTGCGAATGTAGAATCAAGTGTTAGGAAGGCCAAGCTTATAATAGAATGCAATTATCTCTATTCTTATGTCACATATCAAAGTAAATCCCATTTGTGTAAATATTTTGGCTTAAAATGCCATAAATTAAAAAGTCTATGAAACTGTTACGTCGTCTTTTTAAATCCCAATGTCAAACATAAACACGATACGTTTTTATATTCTTCTTACGCTTCTAATTGTTTTAAATACTGACAAAAAGAAGATTGTGAGGCATAAAATGCTACCTTTTTGTTTATTTTTTGAGAAATTTCATACAAAAAAAAAATAAAATAAAAATAAATAAAAACAGAATACCAAAGGAAGCCTTACTTTGTTACGTACTGGTAGAACGTGAAATCGAACCCTTCATAAATATTTGCCAACATCGTATGACAATTATCATTACAGACGAATTATAGTAGAATACATGTCGCGTTTAGAAATATCTGCAGACAAGAATAACACAAATCTATATCTACATGAACTATGAGAATTTATACTGCAAATCACGTTGCAGCCAACTAAAAAAGTTATTTTGCACTTATGTTAAGATTTAAAGATCAACCTTTGAAAGATTGTAAATTTTAAAAGACGTTATAGATTAGGAATTGTACAGTGTGTTTTTGTCTACCATCAATGACATTTTAAAAGGTTATATAAATACAAAAACTCAAGACATTTCCAGATAAAATATTCTATAACTTTGAATTAAATACACTAATATCATTTTATCCATTTAAAAAAAACAACATATAATTGTTTGGGGCTCACTAAATTCCTTTAACCTGCATACATGTGTACTCATTGAAGTGCTTTTGTCATAATTCAGTAAACAAAGATAAAATAAAAAACAAAATGATTTCGATGGAGAATGCAGTCACGACGAAACTCTATTAATTTATTTCAGTTGGTTTCCAAAGGCAGTGCAGAAAAACACGACCTTTAAATTTTGCAACACAAAATTAAAAGTATCGACGGGGAGAACTATAAGTGTCAATATCATACTAATGTAGGTTAAATATATATAGTTTACATTATTAACAAACAAAATATACCTGATACATTGTTAGTTGGGTAGATAATAAATAACGAAGAATAAATAGATTTTAAATAAGAAAATGTGGTATGAGTGCCAATAAGACACCTCGCTATTTAAGTCAAAATGTGAAAAATTCAAATATGAAAAACGTTAACAACTACAATCACAGAAATACAGGACCCTGACTTTGGACACGCACACATAGAATGTGGCGGAGTTTGATATGTTTGCTTACACCAAACCATCCCTTAACCTAGGACAGTGGTGCAACAACATAAAAACTATAAAAATCAGTTTAAAATTTTTAAGGACTCAACTCGTCAGATCGATACAAATCAGGAAAATATTTTAAACATCACAGATCGAACGTGACATGAATATATTCATCCATGTTTAGTGAACCTCTATATCCTCACCAAAACCCTTTTTTTGGTATATAATTTTAAAATTTGATTCCTAGAATGGGAAGGACGGACAAAAGGATGGACTCAAAGTCCAAAATTATATTATCCCAATACAAACTTAATACAATTAATCTTAACAAAACAAAACAACAATGCAGTATTTTATGCTTGTCTATTTTTTCAGACATATTTGTTTAAGTTAAACGTCAAATGAATGGCAAAAGAAGACTCGTCAGAACACCCATTTTGGTTACATTTAGAGAAAAAACTGTTTTAGTAACGGGTAATATTTTTGTGATTTAATTTCCTCTAAAAAAAATTTGGCATGACCATAAAAAAATTCAATAGATTTCTTTTGTTATGGGGTTCCTTCAGAAAGTGCCAAAATAAAACCAGTTTGGAAAAATATAGAAACTATGAAATGCGGTGGCATGTTTATTTTTGTACCATCTGAGGGAATAGAAAAGAAAGGAATCTCAAAATCACGGTAAGTTTATAATTTCTGAAACATAATATGAGTTTGGCAATTGTTTATCTAGTTCCTGCTATGCCTTGAATTTATTCCCGTCCAGTAAACAGGTATGCCTCTACTCATAGTAAATATTATGGTATTAACATGGTCATAACTGTTACTTCTATTTGATGAAACTTTACTGAAATCACCCTCGTATTGATTGGTCAATTTACAAGTAATTGGAATATTTGTCAATAAAATTTGATAAGTATTTTCATTAAATTCAATTCGATAAAATATGCGTATTCAACGAGCAAACAATCCATGATGCCATTGCTCCTGTCTGCCATGCTTCAATGCAATAAGCTGATAAACGTTTAAAACGTTGATTTAGTCGATTAATGTAACTTTATTTGTAATCTCTTTTAGACTTACAGTGGGTATCAATTCATACTTCTATTCGTTTTAAATAACTCTACAACATTTCCGCCTTAGTTCTAATCATGAACTATTTTTAGGTAAAACTCTCAAAATCCATGAATGGGAAAAACTGTCATGATCATTACTACGGTTAAACTGTCACAATCAGTTCCATGATAAAACTTTAAAGAACCGGTTTTCTATAGAACTGTCAAGATCAGTTATAGGACAATCCTAATAAACGTCAAAGCAGACTCCTGATCATAAGTTTTATTTTGACACATTTTAGAACATGATGGTCAAATTTGTTCATTCGATTCATTGGACAATTTGAAGAACCTGAGCAATCATTTTGATAATATAGATAGCGAACTTTATATTTTGTGTTGGATTTGAGACACCGCACATCGTGATAATTGTTCTTGTATTGTTGTAAAGAAGACAAAGTTAAACAAAAGTCCATATTGTCTCGTATATAAGTTTGCTTCTTGTTTCTTACATGTAATATTAGTCGTCATCAAGGTGTTCTAAAATGGGTTTCGATAGTTGTCTTTATCAATATCTATAATTGCAAGTCCTTTATCATCCTCCTTTTTAACAGTTAATTGTCTTTCTTAATATTATGCAACTCATCTTTTTTTCGCTGCGATTAAGCTATTGTTTCTAAGTTTCGAGGTTGACTTGAAATTTGGTATTTGTATCAACAAACGTATCTTAATCGTAATCTCGACCTTTGTTTTAAAATGAAATCCGATTTATTCCGCACCATTCATACATCATCTTTTCAATCAGTACCAACATATTCTAGAAGTCAGAAAAGTCTGCAAAAACTTTGGACATAATAGATCTTAAAATATTGCGTTAATTTCAATCGTTCAATAATAAATGTTTTTCATCCGGACTAAGTTTTTAGAAGATAGGTGTACCATTTTGGATCAATTCGTTTTGGTTCTTTATAATTTAGTCCTGATTCGAATTTAAGGACGATTGTGTCTGCATTTCTCTTAACAAATGTGTCGTCCTCCTCGAATATATTTATACGTTTATGTATTCACCATTAGTTTTAGTCATTACAATTACTAAATGTATTGGGCTTTTAAAGAAACCAATGGCCTCAATGTTATAATAACACCACGTATTTGCACCCTTTTCGAAACACTGTAAATCAAACAAGTAGGAATATGAATAAAACATTGACATGCCTTAATTAGATTGATATTCCTCTTTTACAAATACTAAAAGCTTTTTATGCATTACCGTTCTGACTTCTGTAGGTCGGTATATAAGAGAGATATTATTCCTCAGTATACATGTATCTCCGAGACTTCTTGCAACAGGTTGGTATTCATTTCTATAATTCACATTGGGTAAAACTTTGGAGTCAATAATGCTGATGATTTTAGCCTTTCTCCTGCGTCGTTTCTTTGGTCTTCGAACCTAAATTTACAGACAAGAGGGTTTAAACTTAGTTTTTAAATTAAAGAAAAATTAAAAAAAATATTAAAAAGCATTTTCCACTTTTTTTTTATTATTTATTAAGAAGCGATGCTTTTGTGTCCTTTCATTTGTATAACCAATTCAAATAACATGTCAATTTCTGATATTGTATGTTAAAATTTTTTTACTTGTTAACAACGCTATTAACACTGATTACAACATGTTGCATGTACCATAAAAACAGGAATATATAATGTCAAACAAATTCAAAAATAATAAATATCTACTAGTAACCTACAGGCACAAAGTTAGGATCATGTCTTTTTGTCATTTCATCGTGTCTCTCCTGGTCTTTTCCCGTTTTAAATCTTCTTTCCTCGGGACCACAAATTTTACACAGAAAAGGGAACTCAGCTGGATGTGCCCTTCGATATTCCCACGAAAACTCTCTCACCATAATGACTGAGTGATATACAATGCAGCCGAAACGATAGTAAACGATTCTGAAAAATGCAGAACGAATTTGTAGATCAATGATATTGAAACATAATGAAAATCTGACAATGCAATATGTTCATTACACTGCAAACGGGTAATATTTGTCTTAAAAGAAATGTAAACGTATGATAAATGCTACAAATGTATGGATATAGATTATAACATGGTATTTTTCATATCAGACCCCTTATCAGCCCTAGGTCATGATATCAGCCCTAGAGCCGACAGCCTCGATGGATGATTATGACCATGGACTGATAAGGTGTCAGATATGAAAAATGACATGTTATGTTCTTTTTATCATATACATCAGCAGAAGATATACAGACAAATACTATTTTTAAAAATTCGAAAAAAAACGTTTGTTGTAAAATTTGTTTTGCATTTTTTTATAATATGTTTTCTTGATTCCTAATATTTTTTCCATCCGATTTTGTTATGTTTTATACAAAAACGTACCATTGAGGTGGTTTTTTTTTGGGGGGGGGGGGGGGAATTTGCCGAATGACGTCGAATTGGCATGCGATAACGTTACAGAAAAGCATGCGCGAATAACCGGTAGCAGTTAATATAAAACGGAAGCAGTTTATATAAACCAGAAGCAGTTGATAAAAAACTCACATCACACGGCTAAAGGAATTCTTCAAATTTAAAGAATAAATATATGTACAAATTAGTTTTATCATTAGGTACAATTATACCATTATTTTACTTATAAAACAAGATACAGTCACAAAACAAAACAACAAATAATGAACTTACATACAAAATCACAAAGACAAATAAATACTTGAACGCATTAAAACAAGGAAGCTAAATTATCTGTTTCTGTCTACATGTGATCAGAATGATTTTTTCTTATGTTATGCAGTCTTAAAAAGTGAAATAACAAAAATACTGAACACCAAGGGAAATTCAAAACGGAAAGTCCCTTATCAAATTGCAAAATCAAGGTTCTGTTGCGGATTGTCTGAGGGATTTTTTTTTTATTTTATCTTATAATTTCCTTAGAATTTGAAATTTATAAAACGGACAATTTTAGAGAAGTTTGTTATCTAAATCTTGTCAATTCGGAAGTACTGACTAAAGAAATTATGATACCCTCGGGGACTGATAGTCCACTAGCGGCAGTATTTACTCAGTACTGTGAAAAATTAAAACTATATTGTATAGATATATTGCATGTTACTTTGTACCTGTATTAAGTAAATACACATTCATTTGAAGTAAAAAGATAAAATGTATGTATAGAATATTTGTCATTTCATAGATAAAATGCATGTTACTGCGTACCTGGATTAATGTTATTACACTTTAATATGAAATAAAATGATATTTTTTTTTTATACAGAATATCTGTTAATAACTACACTTAAAAGTGTAACACCTCTGTATTAGAAGTAGGGAAATAGGGAAACCTTTAGAGGGAGCAAGCAAGACAGGACTAAGAAGAAAATGAGAACACCTTACATCCCGAATTTTTCTTGTGATAAACATTATATGAACAGCAGCTGTTTAGAAACATTACATGGACAAGAAACAAAAATTTGAAAGATTTTCGTAGCAAAATCTGCAACTATTCAGATTATATATTCTAATTAGTATGTAAAAACTTCAGATTGATTGGTGGGTGCAGTGGAAAATATTGCATTCGAGTGCAGGACGACAAAGAATACAATTAAATATTTTACTAAATAAAACACTAATTGTGACATGTCCTTATATTTATCTTTATATTGAAGTATTTATAAAATGGTTATTATATTGGAACATTACAAAAGGCAATAAGATCAATACAAATTATTAACTTCATATACTTACCGTCAAATTATGTAAATCTAGTTTTCCCTGGAATGTTTATTTGTCGCTTGAGACGAGACAACAACATGCTGTGCATTGATAGTTGTTTTGTGATATTGAATATATGGCGATTTGCCATTAGAATGTAATTTGTATGCTTATTAGATAACCTAAAATAAACAAGAGGTCACGCATATGTAATAGATGTAAGATTCTAATATGTGAGAGTCAGCCCCGAATTTTATCGGGAATATTGTAAAAATATCAAAAAGAAAATTAGTTTGAAAAACTAACTTGCCTAAAATAGATAAGTTGTAATATGTGTGCAAAATACAATGTACCTCAATATCAAAAACTGTTAAATTGTTAAAATCAGCTGTTTACTGCAGGCTTTTATTTAAAACGGACTATATTTTCTGAAAACGTTTGCAAGTTAAAATCAATCAATACACTTTAAACAAAGTTCGTGTGTCCACAAATGTGAAAGTAAACCGAAAAGACATTCAAATTGACATGCAGGATTTTTGATTATTCTAACCTTATATCAAAAGGATAAATTTAGATTAAATAGGATGCATTATATCACATCTGAGTAAAGTTATAATAAAAATCATTCCTTATAACAAGCAACTGCGTTAAAGTGAAAGTAAGTATGACGTATACTTCGCGGACAAATATATGCCGGGAAAACGAATGAAATGAATGACTGTGTCAAAGAGACAACAACCTGACCATAGAGCAGACAACAGCCGAAGGCCACCAATGGGACTTCAATGCAGCGAGAAACTCCCGCACCCGGTGGCGTCCTTCAGCTGGCCCCCAAACAAATATGTATACCAGTTCAGTGATAATAGACGGCATTCTAAACTCCAAATTATACACAGGAAACTAAAATTAAAAATGATACAAGACCAACAAAGGCCAGAGGCTCCTGACTTGGGACAGGCGCATAAATGCGGCGGAGTTAAACATGTTTTTTGAGATCTCAGTACGCACAGTAAAACTCAGTATAAGAGAAGTCCGAGTCCGATATCAGAATAGGAAACAAAAGAAAATAAACAAAATGACTAAATAACAACAGACTACTAGCAGTTACTGATATGCCAGCTGCAGACATCAATTAAACTGATTGAAAGATTATGTCTTCATCATATGAATATCAGGCACAATCCCTCCTGTTAGGGGTTTAGTATTATACCGTCATAAAATATATGAGAAGAACATAACCCGTGTCATGCTAACAACTGGTTTTAGAATAAAAGTGTTTAATTCCGATGCAAAGACCCTATAAGTGAATCAATATTAAAGCCAAAATATGCAATCTTTAATGACCTGACAACAGTATCGTAACTATATCCCTTCTTAATAAGTCTGTTTAAAGGTTTTGTTAGCTTTTGAGGTGAATACTGACATTTTTGTGCTTTGTTAAGAATATTACAATAAAAGAATATGTGAAATACCCGAACGTATAAGATGTCTGCATGTTGAATTATATTTACGAATGATGTCCTTATACCGATAATAAAATTTAGTAAATGTTTTGACTAGTTTATGATATTGAAAACCCTGGTGTAATAATTTTTCAGTAATACATAAATTTCTCTCGCTAAAATCTAATACGTTGTTACATACACGAGCGAATCTTACAAGTTTAGATACATAAACACCATGAGATGGTGACAAGGTAACGTCACCATCTAAAAATGGATAATTAACGATAGGAAATGAATAATCATCTCTTTTTTCATAAAGTTTTGTATAAAGCTTCCCGTTAATGATATAGATATCAAGATCGAGGAAAGGACAGTGGTCATTGTTAGTATTAGCTTTATTCAAAGTCAGTTCAACAGGATAAATTGCTTTAGTATACATAATAAAGTCGTCATTATTGAGAGCTAATATATTATCCAAATATCTAAAAGTATTGTTAAATTTTTGTATCAGATGTTGTTTTGATGGGTCTTTGCTGATTTGAGTCATAAATTGTAACTCATAACAATATAAAAACAGGTCCGCAATAAGTGGTGCACAGTTAGTCCCAATTGGAATTCCGATAACTTGACGATATACGGAATCTCCAAAGCAAACATAAATGTTATCAAGTAAAAATTCAAGGGCAGATATGGTATCAAAGCATGTCCAATTGACATAGTTCTTTTGTTTGTTGCTACTAAAAAATGACCTAAAAGAGTTTGAACATATGTATTCGCATTCCGACTTTTCAAATGCCCATTTAATTAGGTGTGTGAATTGTTTCTTAACAAGAATATGAGGCAAAGTGGTATATAGGGTAGAAAAATCAAAACTTTGAACAGATTCAAAATCATCAATATATGCATGAAATTTATCAAGTACTTCCAACGAGTTTTTGACACTCCAAAAGTAATTTATTCCACTATTTTCAAAGGCCTGAAGAAGGCTATTACTTAACGAATTACTGTCAATAATCGTGGTTCAACAGACGGACATCTAAATTAAGTGTGGTTTGTCATTTTCTATCAAGAAAATGTTCGCAACTTCGAACCCCGAATGCGTTGTATGTTATTAGAAATAAAAAAATGGTAGTCAAAAGTTAATAACCGTATTATCAGATACAATTTGAACTTAATTTGTGATATTCAAGATAATATCAATACTGCAAATAACTACATTGAGAAGAATCGCACCAAAAAAAGGCAGTCTGGGTTCTAAAAGATTCCCAAGCTCAGTTCAAAACGAGGAATACATTTATTAGAATTGCAGTTAAGTCCAAAGGCTGTAAGAGAACTGTTCGATACCTTCCAGATGAAGTGGCCAAGGACTCGTAAGATAAGAAAATAATACAAGCAGTGAACAACAGGGCAGTCAAAAAGATCAAAGCAGAGACAACATATAAACGTAGCAGCCGCAAGTGTCTGGTAGAAGCATCTGGTTCATCAACTCAAATGGGACATAATGGTACAGGTATTTCTGATTCCACATTTCGCATGCAACCTTTGCGAGGGTGCGCGGCAGCCAACGGCAAAACATTCGGCCATCAAAATAACGTCAATACTTCAAACGTCTGATACAACAATGTCATATGATGACAGTGACATTTTCAATGTACAATATTTTGATATTTTAACATTTTATGAATATGAAAAATTGTAATTTTGATATTTTCGTTTGAAAAAACCTATTAGTTTTTTTAACAAATTTATGCTTCAGATTTCATTTTTAA